GAATGCTTCTGCCAATGTATCACAGGAGGAGCTTGTCTCTATTTCCACCTCTTTGTTAGACATTGATGATGCATGTGCAGCTTCAGTCTGTTCTTACTAGTCTTTGCATGAAGGGGCAGGGGATAAAGGAGTGTATAGAAATACATGAGCCAGCCTTGAACTAGGTGGCTCTAAAGGACTGACAGCAGAGTAGCCATGGTAGTAGCTCACTCACCCTAACTTACCAGCCACCTGGAGAAGATCAGCTCAGCTTTGCAGGGCTCTGAAGTGCTGTGGCCAAGGCCTTGGTAATTTGTTAAGCACTGGGAAGTATCTGCTTCTCAGCTGCTCTGTAACTGGCCTGAAGTACAGAGTGTTCCTGGTGAAGCTGAGAGGCAGAGCTCATTAAGTAAAGCTTCTTTCTTATTTTTTTCGTGCTTATTGTGGTTTTTTTGCTCACAGAAATGTGCTCTGGTGACAAGGGTGGGTTTTTTTTAGGGAAGAGAAGATTGAAGATGGTATTTTTTAAGCCTTATTTTTTGTTCCCAACCCCACTCTTGCCACTGCTGAAGGACTGAGTATTGCAGATTAGAAGTGCATGGGTGAAATGGATGGAGGCCTTTTTGCCTCTCCTATTAATGTGTGCTTCTCTCTTTTGTTTAGGATCACCAGTCAGTGCCCAGCCAGTGATTATGGCTGTTCCTCCCCGACCATCTACTCTGGTGGCAAAACCAGTTGCATACATGCCAGCATCAATAGTGACTTCTCAACAGCCTTCATGTCATGCCATTCACGTTGTTCAACAAGCTCCCACTGTTACAATGGTCCGAGTTGTGACCTCCTCTGCAAACTCCGCCAATGGGTACATCCTCACGAATCAGGGCCCAGCGGGAGGAGCTCATGAAGCTGCAGGAGCAGTACTGGACTTAGCTGGTGACCACCGAGGTAGCTTTTCACCTCCCATGCTACTCTGCTACGAAGGCTTGGGGGTGGAGTGGCTGGTCAAACACTCTATCTCTCACTGGGTGCTTAGCCCTTAATAAAATCTGTTACTCCAGATAAAACTTGAACTAAGTAAGAGCTCATCCATTTGATGTCTCTACCAGTCAGCTGGACACCTGTGCTCCCTTGTCTCCTGTGGGGCACAAGTCTAACAGACTTTGGAGGCTGAAGAAACATGCAGTGCTTGAAATATTTATGTTATCCCCAGGATCAATATTATGCCTGTGTAATAGTCAACTGGATAGGCTATGGAAATGTGTGCTTTTCGTAGCCAAAAGAGGTGGCCTGGGAAAAGCTGAAGCTCTCTGCTTCAGGATGGCCTTTTAAACAAATGATTGAGCCCTTCTTTTCTGCAGGCCTGGATTCCTAGAGGAAAGCGTGTGCTTCTGGAAGTGCAGGCAGTGCCCCATTAAAGCAATCTTCAAAAACCAGTTTCAACAAAGGCCTCTCTTTTCCTAAGCTGGAAATTCCAGCCTTGGGGGATTTAGTGAGTTAAATGTTCTCTTGCTGTGATCCAGGCAACGCCTTGTCTGCTCCCCATTGCAGAAGGGCTTAGTGCTGCAAAAGAGATGTGTGCTGTACCAGAAGCAGCACTGGCTACTCTGATTGCTTTTATGTGGGCAGTGGGGCAATAGTTCTTCTCTAAGGGAAAGAAAAAAAAAAAATAATCACAAAGGCCTTCCCCTACAGCAATAGCAAGACCACTGGCATTTTTAGTTCAGCACTGGTTATCCTGTTTGAGTTTCACTTGCATTCTCTAGAAATTCCTGTTTCAATCCCATACGTGTTCCTGAAGAGCTAACAGTTGCAGCTCCCTATCTGTCCCCTGCTCCCTTATTTCATTCACTTGTTCTTGCTGTTGCTTATTCTTTCCCTGCTTGTCTCTTACTCCCGTTCATCTCCTTTTCTAGTCTCTCCCTTTGTTTTTCCTGGTTGCTCCATTTTCGTTCCTAATCTCCCTTTCCTTGCCTCTTCCTGCTTCCCATCTACCTGCCTGCAGGTCTCAGCTCAGTGCTTATGGCCCATCTAACTCCAGTCTTGTTGTCTCCTGCTGTTAAAGTGGGAGAAGCTGTCTCTTCCTGCAGGACTAATGAGTTGTGCTTCCTGCTTACCTGCTTTGCTTTGAGTCCCACAGAGCCCCTGGAAGAGAGGACTGGCTCTCCTCTTCTGCATGCCCAGCAGGAGGCTGTCATGTATCTGTTAAATCTGCTGAATTGAACCCTTACGTGTCCTGGGCAGTGAGAGAAGTGGTTAACTGCTCTCAAACAGTTATCTCTATCCAGGAATTCAGACCTCACATTTTTTTTCCTCCTTGTTTCTTCCCGTATTTCCACAGCTGGCAAAAGCTTGCAGCTGTGGGACAACCTCTCTGTAAATCAACCTCTGTCCAGGCCTGACAGCAAGCTGTTGCAGACTTTTGGCTCCAGGCATTGTTGGAGATCTTAATGTCTTCTCCTGCAGTGTGGTATTGAGAGTCAGGCCAATTTGCCTGTAATTACAAAGCAGGGTACAGGATTAGCAGTGACTGCTGTCCATATCACAGCTGTAATGTGCCAGTAAGGGAGATAATGCCTTCTCAGGACAAGGGGTCAAGTTTATAATCTTGATTTTTGTTTTATTTTTGGTTGGGTGGCTTATACAGTAAGAAAAATGTTCCTAATATTGATAGTGTATGTGCAGTAGGGAAAATTCTAGTGTTTTAAATGTTCATCCCTGACCTCTGATATGTTTCAAAATAAGTATTTCAGGGGGACTAATCTTCCCTGTTCTTATGTCCCTGATGGTCATGTTCTTCCCCTCATGGGCAGGGTGAATGAACCTTCTCAGAGCTGAGTACACTGTATGAATCAGCCTGCAGAAAGTGTGTGTGTGGAGAGCCTCATCCTGCCTAAAGAGTTCTGGGCACACCATGAGCCCTCTAGCAATATTCTCAGCTTTTTGGAGACCAAATATGTTACTTTTGTGACAAGTCACTTTATATTTTGTGTTTTCAGACGTGTAAGCCTGGGGTGTGTGTCCCTGCTAAAATGTTAATGAGAATAAAGCCAGGGCAGGGAGTGATTGTTGTCTCTTCTGCTTTTAACAGGCATGGATGAAAAGCCAACGATCGCCTTTGCCACCATCCCCACAGCCAGCCGTGTTATTCAGACTGTGGCCAGTCAGATGGCACAGGGTGTCCCAGGACAGACAGTCACCATCCTTCAGCAGGCAGCTCCAGTGGCCATCGGGCAGCACCAGCTCCCGGTGCGGGCAGTCACTCAGAACGGGAAACACGCCGTCCCCGCCAACAGCATCGCCAGTGCTGCCTGTGGTAGGCTCCAGTACCTTTGCTCTCTGGTGTTGGGTTGTTCCCTGAGATTAGCCCTTAGGTTGTAAAGCTGTAAGTGCTGCCTTCGTTATATATCAGGTTATTCCATGTGTCCTATTCCAAAGCTATTCCAACTCCTCAGCTCCTGTGGCTGTAAATGTCAGTGGTGGATCCTCCTGTCCCCATCCATTTGCTCCCTTTGCCTGGTGGAAAAGTTCTGCCATCTACTAGTGCACCTGAATAGTCCAGTGTCTTTCCTTTGTCCTTGGCTATGCGTTTATTACTACTCATACCCTCTACCTCTTGAGTGTTACTTGTGGAAAGTGTTAGTGATTCCTGTGTAGAACCTGTTTCCATTTGTTTCCCTCTGACAAACAGCTTTGCTTCCAGCACGCCAAATAATAAAATTTCCACGGTGCTCTTTAGATCTTGTGAAATATGACTCCACAGAGTATTAAGAAAATAACATACTTCCCCATCTTAAGGGCTTAGAGCTCGAGAGAAATAAGATCTATTTCATCAGGTGAATGACTAAATTTTTTTATATATACAGGATGTGTTCTAGTCATTTCTCAAGCCAGATCTTTTAAATCCCATACCAGCCATGTTTCAGCAGCCTCCTCTTATTGCTTGCTCAGCACCTCATGGTTTGTCCAGTTAAGGATGATGATGAGATGGTAATATCCAGATTTCTTACAGCCCTTTTGAACAAGATGTGAAGCACCTCTGCTGTCCCAGACTGGGGCTTATGGGGAGTTTGAAATGAAGAGCAGTGGTGGCAGTTTTGATGGCTTTCATGAAGCAAAGTAGGAATGTTTCTGCTGAATTTTTTTCTGCATCTATTTGCAGTATCAGCTCATTTGCAATTGAATTGCAAGAATCTTATTGGAGCAGTGAAAAAATGATAGCAGTAGGGTTTCTATAAAACTAGGATATTAAGATATTAAATAGATCAGATAGGTAGACTTGTTACTGCCCAGCAGTGGTGTTTGTCTAATGCAGAATCAGACAGGTTTTTATTTAACATTTTGTTTTAAGATATACTAATCTCATCAAAACCTTTCTAGCTCTGTCATCAGACTGAAAGGTACACTAGTTGCATCTGAATGTCTTCTGTAAGTGGTAGTGAATATTCTGGTTGACGAGAGAGCATGAGTCTCCTGACTCTTGCCTGCACAAAGTTAACTTATTTTCATCTACATGGCTTAGGCTCTGTAAGTCACTGAACTGTAATTGTTAACTGCCCTCATCCTCGCTCTATATTTTTTTCCCCTACATCCTCTTGATACCTTAAAACCTTCTTCTCATGCCTTGGTAGAAGTTGCTGGGCTTTGAGGACCCTTATTCTGTTTGCTTTGTTTATTTATCCTAGTGCTCCTTTTTTGATGCACTTAGCAGTGAACACACCACTAATGTTCTGTCATTCCATCCTTTGCAACTCAGGCTGGAGGGCAGAGGATGTGCTGTCTCCTGAGTCCCCTTTGGCTGCCTCTCCGATTGATGCAGAGGCCAAAAAACTGCATGTGTTTTGTGTTCCAAGCAGTGTTGTGTGCCAAAGCCAGTGTGTAAGCACATTCTCTGTCTGGAACTAGGAATTGTAGACATTTTTACCGAGGGTTGCTACTTAAGTCGTCTCTTTTCTCACCACTTTTATTGATGGGAGGGTGAGAGCTTTTGTTAGGCCTGGAATACAAGACTGGGAGTCAGAAATTCCTGCATTCTGGTGGGAATGCATTTGGTTGTCTTGGGTGAGTTCTTTCCTGCCCCTTTTCCAAGTGAGATGTCAGTACACTCAAGATTTGGATTGTTAGCTCATTTCCCAACCGACTGACTGTTCTTCCTGAGCAAGCAGGGCTAAGAAGGACCCTCTAAATTGAAGGCAAAACACAGAGATGGTGGAGCTGCCAAGAAGTTCTGATTATAGGTGGCCAGAGAACAACCTCTCAAAGAGGAGATGTGCTCTTATTTTAACAGGGGATTGGCCCTCCCCTTCTGGACATGAATGCTTGGCTGGCAATGTCTTGTTTGACCATGGAAAGGATAGGATGAAGGAAGTTGTCCCATGAAAGGGGTTGTTAGCAGTTGGATGAACATGCCAGCCTTTGTCTCTCCCTCTTCCCCCACAATCCCAGTTATGTGCAGGCATTAGAAAACAGACTTGATTCCGTGCCAGCTATCACATTTGGCTGTGACGCTTTGTTTTCTGGAATAGCAAACACTGGTGCTGCTTCATCACAGTAACTATTTCTCTCTCTTGTCCAACTTCCCAGCTCTCACAAATCCATTGCAGCTCCTCGCAGCCCAGGCCAGCTCATCCACTCCTGTTGTAGTCAGCCGGGTGTGCGAGACAGGGACCGAGGAGACAGCAGCAGCCTCTTCCAGTGAGCCTGAAGTCAAAAGACCCCGGATAGAAGAGCCCAGTGGAGCAGTCTCAGCCCAAACTGGAGTCATCACGTCTACCGTGCCACAAGGACAGGCAACCAGTGAATGAAGCAGCGGTGGGAGGAGCTGGAGTGATGCGGGGTGGGCACGGGATGGCAGGAGCCCTAAAGCAGCTCTGAAAGAAAACAAACCACAACTGTAACACCTGAAACCATGGTGGATTAAGAGCTCTTTTTAAAGTCAGATTTTTAAATGGGAGGTCAACAGCCCTTAAAATCTAAAGGTGTGCCAAAAAGAGTGGAAAACCCCTTCCAAGTACCCATATCTGGAACTCTGTTCTGTCTTTACCTATGGGATTTATTTTTCTTTTTTTTAAAAAAAAAAAAAAAATCAAAAAAAAATACAGACAACTGATTGTATGACTGCTGGGATATTTTTACTGTCTTTTCCCCTTTTGGCTCCAAGGGGATGGGATTTGCAGTTCAGCATCTAAAGGAATGTAACACAAATACAGTCTGCTCCCTGGAAAGAAAAACTCCTCATTTTCTATGCCTTAATACTGTGCTTCTGAGAGCTTTGAACCATAGGACCATTTTAAAAAGACCACCTAAGGCAATCAAATGCTGAAAGATGGGTGCAGTGTCTCACAACAACAGCATTAAAGAAACATGGTACCAAGTTTAAAGAAAAGGCAAACAATTTTGTTTTTTAAAACAAAAAAAATCTGCATATGAATGAATGTTTATTTATGTGGGGATCCAGGAGGAAGAGTTGCAGGGCTCAACCACCTGGATTTCCAGATGCAATTTCTCTCCATTCCCTCTGAGGGAAAGTAAGATGACAGAGGAACTGTATTGATTTGATCCCTGTAAAGATATTAAAAACAAAGGGTTTTGTACCTTCAATGATTTCTTACAATTATTCATCCCTTGCTCTGGACAACAGCCAAAGTATCTTGATGACTGAGGATCACATGGGGAAGGGTGTCTCAAAAAGGTTCTGGGTGCATTTGGTCACATCTTGTGGTAGAGCACCAGGTGTTCAGAATAGCACTGTAGGTGAAGGCATTGCCATGGTCTCTGTGAAAAAAATATTGATTGGTCTTCTGCAGTAAAACAGTCTGCCTTCACCTGCTGTTGGTACTGTAGTTCTCAGCTAGATGGATGATGATTGAGAGGCCAGGGCTGGGTAGGAGTCTGTCCTTGCCCCTCTGCCATGGCTGACAGCAAAGCTTCTGTGTTGTTCTTCTGAGAGGGAAGTTGAGAGCTGGGGTGAGAGGCAGCAGAGCTCACCCAGTGTGCAGTACAGATTCTCTAAGTGTGTAGAGACCAGGGCAAATGAGGCCTTTGATTTTCCATTTGGCAAAGGTCACTGGAGGTCTTATACAAGCTTGCCAAAAGGAATTTGGAGGTTTCCTTTCACTGCCTGGCTCCCTCTCCCATCTCTCCTCCCTTGAGGACCATTTAGGTTGGCCAGTAGGAGAAAGCTTTTATTCAAACTGTGTTCCAGGTTCTTCATGTACTGCAGTTACCTCTTAGGAGCGAAGCAGATTGGAGTCACCTCAGCCTTGTGGAGTGGTGGGTGTGTGCGATGCCTTGTGACTGGCAAAGAAATCAACCTCTGTGTAGCATCTAGCTAACCCCTTTGGTTTTATGCCTGTTTGCAGTCCCCTTGGGTAACATGTCTTCTGGCAGCACAGCAGAGATCTCTTAATTTAGAAAATGTTATGGCTTTGGTAATGGCAAAAGAGACATAAGAGGGATGGGCTGTGCCTTTGGTAGGTTGTTACCCTCCCTGGACTGATTTATTGTCAGGTTGCTGTCTCACACAGCCTGACAGTGCTATCACAGAGCAGAAATGCAAACCGCCTGCATAAACAGGTTGCAAGAAGATTTCCCCAACTGATTTATTGTCAGGTTGCTGTCTCGCACTGACAGTGCTATCACAGAGCAGAAAGGCAAACCCCCTGCATAAACAGGTTGCAAGAAGATTTCCCCAATGAGCAGTAAATGATGCTGTCAGTATGTCCATGGGGATTAGGGGGGGAGGCACAACCACTCTGTGTCTGCTGGAATTTGGGAAGGGGGAGGAAATCCACAAGGTAACAGCTGGCATCACTTGTTCCCTTCTAACTTTCCTTTCTCTCTGCCAAATCCTATCCAATAGCTAAGTCCCACAACTTGAACAAAACCCAGCCATGTTTTAGTCTCAAGCCAATTGTTTTGTGAGAAATATTTCTGGAAGAAGGGAAGGATTTCTTGGTCTCGTGATTTGTGGTTATGTCCTGCAGTTCGAGACACACCAAGTGTTAAGGACAGTTCATTTCTCTGCAGTTTGGCTTCCATAATTTAGGTGTGTGCCTTTAGTGACAAGTTACTAGATTGGATTTTAGTGTTTTGAAATGATTTTGTGAAGGAGGATTGTTACAGACCACAAAGTAATGGAAGCAGGCCGGCCTCCAGCTGTCAGTTTTCCTGCTAGGAAGACTAGGTGAGGCACAGTGGAAAAGCACAGGGATTAGCTCTGTTTTCTGTAGCCTTTTCAAAGCCAGAATTCAATCAACTGGACTTGAAGGAAGAATGCAGAAGTGAGAGTGCAGCATAGTTCCTCCATGATTAATCATGACGTTGGGGTGGCTGCTGGTTTGGATACAGACACAGCCCCAGAACAGCCCTGGGCTGGGGAGCTTTCCTGGAGCTGAGGAGTCTTTAGGTTTGCAGTATGTTGAGTGAGTCAGTGCAAGATGAGCAACCACCACAATACTGTTCAGGATGTGACGCTGCTTTTTGTTGTTGTTGTTTTTGATTGAAAGTTTCATGGTTTTTTCCCTATTGCTGCTTTTCTGTTGCAAAGTCTAAATAATCAGGCCCTAAACTTCTCTAAACTGGTCCAGCACCATGGAAATACATTAGCTGAGGGACAGTGTTTTCATACACCAGCTGCTGCTTTAAAGATACCTCTTGAAAGTCTATCCTCAGGTTGCACATATGGATCTGCCTCCTCAGTATTTAGAACAGAAAAACACACTTTCACTTTTCCTTTTATGGCTCCCAGTGCCTGCTGGTTAAACTGCAAGTTGAGGATAAACAGTATCTTTGATCTGCTTAAGGTGTCTGGAACTTGCCAGTTCATCTTATCAGGGGATTTTTCCTTTATCATTCTGCTGCATCCCCCTGCTACTGTAGGAGGCAGCTGTGCCACTTGAAAATTGTATTTTTTGGTAGGTTTCTCTGTAGTTGCCTATATCATTGCCTGTTACCAGGTGAAATAACAGATCTTCCTAAATCCTGTTGAGAGCTGTGGAAAAATGTGGTCCTCTTCCGGAATACATGAGGTGTGGACATCTTGTTTCAGGCCTTCAGATTAATTCTTTCAACACACTGCTCAGTCTGGAGGACAGCACCACTCTTCTTGCAGATCAGTCCTGATTCCCCACACTTTCAGTTTTGAGCACTGCAGAGGAATGAAAATGAGTGTGATGGTAGAATTAAGCCTTCAGCTAGAAAGAAAATGTTATCTTAATGGCTAAATGCAGTACTCAGCTCACTTTAAATTGATTGTCTAACTTGCTTTTATTGTCTGAAAAGTTACATCTCATGTCCTCACTTATATTGTCTGAGGGAGGTTTGATGGGGAGCAGAGTAGGAGGCTTCATTGCATCTTCTGCTGTCAGTATCACAAAGATCAAGGCATATTGAATATTTAACCTGTGCAAACTTAGGCTTGGGAAAACTTTAAAGCTGAGTTCTTAATGTGTGAATTCACTTTTCACCACCCCCTATTGATTTATTCTTTTTTCTATCTTAGGCAATGACAGACTAATTGTACTTAGCAGTCACTTTATAGTCACCTCAGTTTGCAAAAGCTGAATGCAGCTGGTTTTGATTTTATTCCACTGAAATTCCTTAGTTATTCTTTTGTCTTGACCTTGGCTCTTGTGGCACAGAAAACGTTTTACAGTGAGATCAATTTAATCTGATTTAGTGATAACATAACAGTGCTGAGCACAGAACTGAAGTCCATTATTAGCTCATATATTCTTTTCAACTCCCTTTTCTTCCCATATTCCTCCCTCCCCCATCCCATTAGTGCTGCCCCTGTAACCTACCTACCCAGTTGTTTTTATCCAGTGATGGGAGCAACACCATGCATCAAGCTCTGCCCAAGGACTCAAGGATGAAAATACCTGTGGGATACATGGAGCTCCAGAACTGGTTGAGAAAGGTCAATTTGGTCACCCTTTGATGTTCATGCTGTGTTTTAGACATGTTACAGTTGGGTGTAGCTTGTTCAGGAGTGTGTTTTCAGAGACATGTTAAAGCTTTGGAAGAGGAAGGAAATAGTTAATTAACCTGGTTTTCTCAGTCTCTTTTTGTGCAGCCCATGCTCAAGCTCCGAAGGCATCAGGTGGAAGGTCCCTGTCTGTCTTTTACTGGGGACCCCAAAACTAGGCTCAGTACTACAGGTATGATCTGATCTGATAAATACTGGATGAAGTGGAAAAAAAAAATCACCTTGGCCTGCTAGCTGTGCATGTGCCAGTGCAGCCCAGTATCTGGTTGTCTCTTGCTACAAGACAAGTGGAAGTGTAAGAAACAAGAGTCACAAAGTGAACTGGAAATATTCAGGATTGCATTTGTGCATCTGCAACCATCCTGTCCCCTTCCTCCAAGGGAAGCTCCAGACTGGGTCTTGGAGCTTTTTGAACAGGAGGCAGCACTGAAGGATCCTGGTCACTTCTAAAAATGTCTGTGATTTACCTTACCAACTGGTAGTTTGAAGCCAATATGGAATTTGCTTTGAGTTTCTCCCCTGATGAAAAATCTTTCAGGTTTTTATGTCCTGCTGCTAATAAGTTGGACTAGGGCATTAAGAATGAACTTCTAAAGGAACATAACTAGCTTCATAATTTTGCCCTTCCTGTGCACTGAGCTCTTGAGCTTGCAAATGCCATCCTGCAGCAAACAATCTGGCTTCCCTTGCCATCCAGTGTCTCAGGCAGCTCCTGTTTCTGCTCCCCATCATAGGGTTTTTTTTTCCTCATCCCCCTCTTTTTGTAGTTGTTTTTGTCAACCCCAGAGTCCTTTAATCCAACTCCTAATTTAATGCCATTGCTTGAAGGTCTACATCTGGTGAGAATCTGTCTGTTAGGTTGCAGTTACACAACAGATTGTTCAGTTGTGTAACTTTCTGTTTTCTTCTGGGTGAAAACTTGTGCCAAAGCTGCTACTACTATAGCATACACTACTGTTGTCAAGTGTAGCTCACAATGGAGCCAGCTGTGCTGCAGGAAACAGTTACACTACAGGATCATGTGGATTGCTGGAAATGGTGGGAGTGGGAAGTGAAGCTTTCTTGCATTTTGATCTGGACCTGATCAAAAGGTAGCAGTGACTTGGTGCTGGAGCTCCTCTCTCT